GCTGCTAATGTGGCATGCACTTTCTTTATAATATAAAAAAATCTGATTTTACCATGTGAACTACAAAGTTTTATTGTTATTATTTCATTAACTTTATTTATAAGAATAGGATAAAACCTCTAGCAATAAATGCTTCTAGCTCACATGGTAATATGTAAGGTATGAGAGGGGGAGGTTACAGGTTCGATTCCCCTCCCCTTTTTTCTCTAAAAAAACATATTTTTTAAAATTATAAAGAAAGAGCATGCCACATTAGCAGCCAACTCAAACAAACAGTCCATTTGACATGACACAACAGTAGTAACCTGCTAGAAAAAGTAAAAAAGGTTAAATTGATAACAATAGTCGGTTTCTCTAAAAAAACATATTTTTTAAAATTATAAAGAAAGAGCATGCCACATTAGCAGCCAACTCAAACAAACAGTCCATTTGACATGACACAACAGTAGTAACCTGCTAGAAAAAGTAAAAAAGGTTAAATTGATAACAATAGTCGGTTTCATATCCTTTTTCATTAATGAAATTTAATTTAGGATTAGATCATAAATTGACCCAAAACTTTGAGACTTTTTTGGAGACTTAATTGATTATGATGTTAATATGTAAGGACTTAATTGAATAAAAAAATATATAAGGACTAAATTGATTATGATGTTAATATGTAAGGATTTTATTGCAGTTTTCCTTTTAAATATTATATTCTTTGGTCCATTACATTAAAAACTTAGAAAAGTTCTCCTATCTAATAAAAATTTTACAGATTGTGCCCCATGAAAACAAACTCTTATCCTGCATCCCATAAAGGAGGAAGGAGCAATTTCTAATCATATAATAAAAAATAATTCCCATATGAATATTATTGTTTATTATTTTCATAATTTGATTACAAAAGTTTTACTTCATAGCCACAAATCTACTTTCTTGTTTCATACTTTATCCAATTTTCTTATGTTGATAGATTTTGTCCATATACTTTAGTACACTATATAAAAAAACAAATCTTTAGGAGTAATATTGTTTTATGTTTTCATATTTTGGGTATAAAAGTTTATCATTTCCTAGTTTAGCCACAAATCCGCTTTCTTATTTCATACTTTAGCTAAAAACTTTCTTATATTGGTATATTTGGTTCCTATATTTCGTATATTGGCAATCTACACCCCTTAAAATGGCACATTCAACCTCTTACTTTGAAGAATGGCACTTTCCATCCTTTACTTTGTAAAACGTCATTTTTATCCCCCTCAATTTTGAACAACAACAAATTCCACCCCTTAATGTTGACATATTTGCAGGTTTGCCCCTAGATTTTCTTATGTCGGCAACTTTAATCCCCTTAAAAAATTGTGCATACAAAACGATAATATGATGAATAATAGTACTTTTCTTTGATGTGGCTAGAACATAAAAAGCAAACCATCACATACGTTACCCGCAAACTAAGGAGGGGCAATTTCTCTCTCTCTCTTTTTTATATATATATATATATATATATATATATATATATATATATATATATATATATATATATATATATATATATATATATATATATATATATATATATATATATATATATATATATATATATATATATATATAGACACACACTATTAGGATACCCGCGATGCAGCGACACGATATATTTTCTTTTGGCGATTAGTGTTTTTCCGTAAGACTATTGCACCATAAAAATACAGCACCTCGTGATTATTTTCTTTTTGACAGTCAACGAATCGTTTATTTCACCGAGTGGCAGATAATTTCTATTTAAAGATTAACTTTCTTTGTAAACATGTCAGTCACTTAACAAAACAATAAAAAATTATTATTGTCATTTTTTATATTAACATGAATGGTTAAATAAGTCCAAGTTTTTTTTATTGATCTTTTAATAATTAGCATCATAATGTATATGTTGGTATAGGTGATTTGTTTATAATATTTTGGTCCATGTTTCTTATAAACATGTGATATTCCTAAAAATATGCCTAGCGTATATGGTTATCGTTCTTATGTTTTGCGTTTGCTGGATGTATATGTGTAGAAATGACATCATTTTTTCTTCTAAATAAAAACATTAGAAATATAATTTATTTATTTATTTATTATAAAATATAGTTTGTTGCTATTAAACGCATTTTGCATTTTCAGTATCTAGTATCAATTTTTATTTGTTCGTTGACCTATTGAAATAAGTCGTTCCGATTTAAGTATCAAATAACTAAACATTGGCATTCTCAATGGGCGATTGTTAGTATGTTTCTGTTTTGTTTAAATGGAAGTATGTTGATATTTTGGTTTCAAGCAAGGTTGTTAAAATCTCAATTTGATCTTATGATCTTACGATTTTAAGATCTTACAAGTGAAAACGATACGGATCACGCTACGATCCTGATTTCACCTCTTTAGTTTTATTGTTTAGCCGAGTATCAATAATTCGTCTATTCAACTTGAAGTCAAGCGTCACAAGTTGCAAGAAGTCTTTTAGAACATCAAA